GTTCTGCTGAAGGCATCCAGCTCGTGACGAGTCCATCAGCGGTGCTCCTCTACGGCCGGTGAAACCTGCCAGACACCGCATCAAAACAGCTGTGATGGTACATTACTTATGACCTGTAGCTGTTACAGATTACAAACTGTAGTTTGTAATATAATCTATTGGATTACACATATGAGGTAATGACTACTTTTGGACCTTTCTCATAAGAAAATATAGGGTACAGCGGGGCAAAAGGCGTCTTTGATATTATGTTCATCTAAACCACTAGATGGCACAAACACGTAGCTTAGCACTTTCCAAAACATCCGCTTTTCAAGATGCACCTGTATATTTGTCTGATCCTTGACGCGATCGCGCGGAGCAGCGCAAAGTCGATTCTGTGCTTACTTGAGTTTTTTAAATGTTGTAGATTTAAGTAGCAAATTAGAATCGCTAAAAAGTCATTAAGACAGTTACCTGGCATCAGAAAACTGTGAATGTGTCGTTAAATTATTGAAATATTCTTTAAATGCCGTGTGGCCTCTTCATTTTCCGTGTAATTACTCGTGGCTGGTGTGTGCTAATGTATAAAAGCAGTAGAATTTTTTTAGATAGGAAATTAAGACAAATCAATACATTATGAATAATTTGCTGCCATTGTGTGAATATGTAATCACGTAATCTATAAAAAAGTAACTAATCTGATTATAAGCATTTTAAAACATAATCTGATTACAAATAGCTCATTTTTGGAATCTGATTACGTAATCCAGATTTCATCTAATCTGCTCGGTCCCGCGCACCGCTCACCAATCACAGCTGTGAAAAATACAAATCACCCTCGTATATTTATACCATATGATATAGTTTAGCAATATTATTCCCCAATATCTGCACCACTGCCAAAGTGTAATCAAGTACAGTCAAACAACTATAAATGCTTGACAGACTCAATTTATATAAATTCACAAAAATGTTTTGTTCATACGTCCTTGATTTTTTTCTAACTTTGTGTCATCTTTGATGTCAAATTCATACATTTAATCAATTAATTCAGTTAGAATAATAAGACAACAACATTAGGCTGTTAACACTCAAATGAAGTCAGTATTAATCCATCTTAACACTGTAGAGGTGGCACAAAAGCTGCATCTGAAGTACCATTTAGATTTACACAGATTGTTTAATGCAGATCAGAAGTGGCATGAAACGCATTCATACTGCAGTTGATTTGGATTTTATGATATGATTTTGATCATTAGTTGATATGATTTTGAATATGAAACTAAAAGCACCAATAGGTGGCGGCAAGTCACTGTCTTAATGAGTGAGTCACTGAATCATTTGATTTCAAAAGGACTGAATCATTCAGGAATGAAGCGAGTGACTGTCTGTATGATTGATTCATTGAATCATTCGCTCAACCGATTCACTCAAAACGCAAATCATGTGAGGAATGAAGCACCGCTGTGTGTGGCTCGGAGAAACACAGCAGTTCTGCTGGCTGTTTATATTGATAAAACCGATTAAAACAGACAATAACGGGTTTAAAATATCACTTGGGTGAACCATCCCCTTTAATATTAAATTAAAGAGTTTTATACAACAGTTCAATATGCTTCACCTGGTCAGATGGCGGCTGGACTCGTGCACCTCCATCTCATTGCTCTTGAAATCATTCAGCTCTTTCCTGATGGCGGCCTGCAGCGACACACACACATGCACACACGCACGCACGCACAAAGAAACACACACACACACACAAAGAAACACACACACACACACACACACACACA